TTATTAGGGAACAGAATAGAATAGAATATAACTCTTTTCAGAACAACTTCTGGACAAATACAAAAACTCCCACATAGTATCTTAAATATTTTCAAAGATTTAAAAACACGGAGATATTTATACTTTTACAGGTTTACATATTCGTGGCAACTATGACAAGTGTCCCTCTATGAGATATCTCGAAATCTGCGATCAGTAGTGGACTTTGATAGGCTGCAATGAAAAACAAATAAAGGTACATGATATTGAACACTAGAAAAAACTAATTTAAAAAAAACAAACTTCGAATTTCAATTTACTAAAATGATTTAACGTCTATGAGCTAATAGTTATCATAAAACTCCAAGGAAATTGGACGAGCAAACAACTGATTAACTCAATTATCAGGTCGGTACAGTGAGTCACTAGGTAAATACATTCTCGCACTTAAGTAAGATGAGGGGAAGAAATCTATTTAAGTGCACTCAGAGCTAGAGCTTAGGTTTGCTTATAGATCTAATATACTATACAGAGAAATTATCTTCAACAACAAACTATATTTTGAACATTGTACGTTAGATCAGTTAGTCTAATTTAATTAAAGAAATACGAAGCAAAATATAAGAAACATTCTAAACTTTTGTATTAAGAACATATTTTAGTTTTCTTATAAATTTCAAATTTTTTATCTTTCATTTATCTTCCTTTTTTATAGAATAAATCTAAAAAACGAGTACACAGTGTGAATAATTGTAAGTGGATGCTGTGGCCCATAAACATCTACATCTATCCTCGATTAAGTATATAATAAGTAAGTAAATAAATAAGTAATGCAGATCGTGCCTCGATTACAGTGGAAAGGAGTCTTCCTGGGTACATACTGAAACATCGAACGTAATATAAAACTAAATTGTTGAATCAAGAAATGACTAGCAGTTATGATCTAAGAAATAACTACTAGGAAATCAATTAAAAGAATCAGGAGTTACTTTGCGTAAATTCATTGTATTAAAGATATAAAATTAAAAAGTAATAGTAAAGTAAGAGCAGCGAAGAAATCTTCAACTTAGAAAAATTATCCGTTTTAATAGAATACGGTGACAATTGAGCACAAAATAACTTATGTCGAGACTTAGAATATAAGATAGCAAAGTAAATTGCGTAACTTTTCTGGTAGATATTTATAAATGTGGTTAAGTAGACAGCTTACATAAATGCTTCAGTCTAGGTTGAGTTGAATATTATAGGTTTTAGTGTTAATGTTTTAGAAATCTCACTTAAGTTTGTCACCAACGAAGATGAATTAGGAATAAACTTGGTGTTCATCTGCCTTTATCGCATAAAATGTAACCTCACTTCTTTGACGCTTGAGGGATGTGTTGGACTTGGGTTTGTAAGTGCTATCAGGCAATCCCTAACTATATGAAGAGCCTCAAAAGACCTTCAAGGTAATCTACGTGACAATTTTGTAGGATTTTGAGCTTCTCGGCTTGGTGATAGGACTCCTTTTTTACTTACTTGCTGCTACAGCTCTTGAAAAACCAACTTCAAACAAAGAATGCTACATTCCTCAAGATTCTGAAGTATCGAAAAAGTCTTACCTTCTCCAAAACCCCCCTCAAATATGAACGAAGTTCTATACTCACTATATATATATCAACACTGAAACCTATAGACATAACAACATTATTTTATATCATTGCTTTATGTCAAAACAAAACTTTTTCTAACTTGTGATGTCGTAATTTGATTAAGTACTTTGTTCTGAAGTACCTCACTTCCTCAGTTATCGCCTAACGAAGTTTGGATTACGTTCTGCTCTCAGATGTGTAGTTAATTATTACCGACGGTGTAAGTGTTCTCAACGTGAATTATAGAAACTGTTTTACGTCTTTTAAATGTTAAACTTAATTGCAGGTAATTAAAACTTCAGCACAAATTTGAATTGAATTAATGCGAAACTTTCTGTAACGTAGCTTTACTGTCGTTGTTTGCTTAAGAACAAACGTTTAGATTTGCATATGTAGAAACGTGTAATTACTTACTTCACTTGTTCAGGCATTTCTTACAAGGGTAGGATCGAGAAGTATTTTTTTAGAATAGTGGTGACAAAAGCGCACAAAGTCCACCTTATGGTAAGTATTTGCTGTGGCCCATAGACATCTACATGTATCCTCAATTAAAAATCAAAATTCAATCTTATTGAGCTGCTATTTTACGCTGGTATTCTGTGAGAGCGTAGTACTTCCTCGGTCGAGCCGACCAATTCGTGTTACAACAATAATATAGCTGCAGCGTGGCTCTACCACGTAAATAAAGTCGTTAATATTTTTATGTCACTTAACAACAGCGTTATCAGTGTGTGTTCCAGTTTGCAAGAGTTGCCAGTATAATAATATGCCTTTAGGCAATTCAACTTAATTTTTAGGGGTAAAAATACATGTTAAATGTTTAAAACAAAAAAATTCACATATTTTTTCTAAACCAGTGTTAAAAGCGAAATTATTTTCTTTGTGTATTATTTATAATCTATGTTGCCAAGCAATGGTACAAGAATTCATTACCCGATTTCTTACTTGAGATTACGATATTCCTTTGTTCGTTTAAAGGGAAAAATTATTTTTAATATAAAAGTAGAAGCCGGCTTCAAGGAACTAAAAATTAACATCATATCAAATTCTGCTTAAATTCTTTTATACATAACACGTAAGGATTTAAATGTGATAATGATTCATTATAACATTGAGTAATCTAATAAGTTTTTTGAAAATAAAAAGCGTTATAAGATCTAAATCTAAAGCGCATATAAAATATCAATTTGAGGCGCTAAGAGCACTGGATAAAAATCCGAACTTCTAAGTCTGGTTCACAGCGACGCTGAGACATAATTTTCTTGCAGTAATGGATAAAAAATAGTTTACGACGCGTCTCTCCATCTTCATTTTATGCAGTTAAATTTTAAAGTAGGAATCTTCATGCCATAATGTATATGAGAATACATTATTAACATCACAATGTTATTACTTCGATTTCGTTACATAGTCGTCTTCCCAATCTTGTAGTGGCGGTATAAGCATCTCGTTTGGTGAGTGTAGAGAAACGTAGAACCCTTTTTACTGGATACGAGGCAATCCATCTTAGTACTCAGGGGCGACAACGCTTCTGCACATTGATTCTTAATCCATGATGGATGTAGATGTCTATGGGCCAGAGCATCCACTTACCATCGGGTGGACTGTGTTTTTATTTGTCGACAGATCTCGCAGCTTTGAATTTGTCATTCCCAGTTATTTTACAAGAACTTCCCTAAAATGTTAACTACATTCTAAAATGAAAGCCGTATGCTGTTTTGCGTCATCTTAAAAAAAAAGCAATATTATTATAAAGGCATGGACATTAAAAAATCATCTACAGAATACTTTTTTTTTAAAATACTATTAATGCTATTGAACATTACTAATATTCCCTTTAACCACTTCTGGTAAGCTTAAAATGCTTTTGTTAGAAGTGGTTCACGACAGTAGTCGAATGGCGGATTCAAATCCACGACCTTTCGAGTTCGCGTTCAGTGCCCTGCCATTAGGCTACTGATGCTTATACTTTGCATCACACAATCACTTTGCAATTAAACAGATTTTTTATTAGAATTAGATTTAATTAAAACAATAAGACAAAAAAATGTTAGTGTACTACGCACGTAGGAAGTCTGCTTTAGCATAACCTTAAATATAGTTATTAGTTTCCACAAAAACTTGAGAGACAGTTACCTAATGAAGCTTTGAGGTATCAGTGTGCGCACGCATCCTAGGTAACAACTTCATGGTGCCGTTTTCATCTGTCGGTGTGCGCGCGTCGTAAAAAAATCACTCTCATAATTTTTCCCAAATCCCCCAAAATAGTATAACTTCAAAAATGTCTAAGTATGTGATCGGGGTCATTATTTTTAATTATTATCGGCATACTGTTAGTAGTACTCTGTGGGATGCACACGACTTCGCGTTCACAAACTGAAATATGCATTAAATTTTTTTCTAAGAGATACCCTTGGACTTAGGTTATACATTGATGTTATGGGTCTCTTTTGCAAAACGAACATAGTTTCAATGTCACCTCTTACGGCACCCATGGAATTATTTGGGATATTCTTACGCCGCCACCACATGGCAAATAACAACATAAATTTATAACTAACAATTTCATTTTTAATTATAAATTAACAACTAAACATAATTATTTGGAGTGGAAGACCGGTACCGTTAAGTCGGTTATTCATCAATGCACTCTAATGGGGCGGCGTTTTGCTTAACTTTGCGGCCCGTCTCCCACATAGCAATCCTTCAATTTTGGAACAGGTAATTAATTTAAGTAACAAGGAAATTGTTACCGTTTATCTGACGTAACGAGGACATAGTACAAAAACAGATATAAATCAAAACTAAAAATTGCAGAACAATTTTAGTTGTGGCTGCGGGTACCGAACCGAGAGAGTGCCCACTTTCTGAGCTACTACGATTCTCAAAATATTCCATATCACTGAAAATCGGTACACATAATGCAAAGCGATAAGTCATTTATCTATGGTCTCTTAGCAACACATATTATTCAAGTAGACCTTATTTAACCCGGGAACGGTGACCTATATGTCTGTGGGACCGGGTGACTTGAAAAATTCGAATAACTTTTTCCCCCGCCGCCGATTTTTGTCGCGATTTCGAGTAGCTGCCTCATTTCCCCTCCCACATCGTCAGTTCACCCGCCAACGTCGGAGCAGGCGTACGTTCCTGAGTTTTGGCACCAGCCCGGTGCAGTACACCGGGGTCACCGAATATGTAAGTAAAACAGGCCGAATTGAATTATTGAATATCCGTTTTTTGTCTGATTTATGTACATTTTTTACTTACCTTTGTTATTTTTTTATTGTATTATCCTATAATCAGTAAGTTTATTGCATGATTTTATCAATATTATCAAAATATCACAAAATTATTCTATCTTGTTTCAAATATAAACTTTGTTACAGTATGTCGTACGAAAGGGAACAGCATCGTCTAGAATCGCTTCTTCATGAACTGCTTGATGACGACAGACCATCAATGTCTTCAGACAGTGAAGCTGGAAGTGACATCGAACTGGAGAATCCTTCACCAAATGACATACAGGATTCGAACAGCGAAGAGGAGCTAAGTGACCGAGAAGCTTCAGGTAACGACAGCGCCTTTTATTTAGGAAAGGATAAAAGTACGAAATGGAGCAAAGAATCTCACCGCCAATCTGTCCGTACTAGAAGTTTCAATATAATAACTCAGTTACCAGGACCTAAACGAGTTATATCTAGTGAAAAGGACCCTCTTGGAATTTGGAGACACTTCTTTGACGATACTATAATTAAGATTATTGTCGAATATACCAACCAATACATTGCTTCCGTGAAAGATAATTACGCTAGAGAAACGTATGCAAAACAGACTGATTTCAACGAGGTATATTGCTTGATTGGTTTGCTTCTATTAGCCGGAGTGAAAAAATCGAATCACCTGAATGCTGAAGAGTTGTTTCGAACGGATGGTGGTTCAGTGGAAATATTTCGGTTTTCAATGTCTGCCCAGAGGTTTCAATTTCTTCTACGAGCTTTGAGGTTTGATGATAGTACTACAAGGATACAAAGAAAAGAACTAGACAAAATTTTCCACATTTGAGAGATATTCGAGAAATTTGTCCAAAATTGTAAGGATAGTTACACTTTATCTGCTTTTGTGACTGTCGATGAAAAGTTGGAAGCTTTTCGTGGAAGGTGCTCATTTAGGCAATACATTCCGAATAAGCCGAATCCATATGGTATCAAAATTCAAGCTCTGTGTGACGCTAAAATGTTTTATACATTCAATATGGAAATATATCCCGGAAAACAGCCAGATGCAGGTCCATACACTCAAGACAATTCTGGCTTGGCTGTGGTTCAAAGATTATGCGAGCCCATTTTCAATACTGGTCGCAACGTCACAACAGACAATTGGTATACCAGTATACCCTTATCTGAAGCATTGCTTGAGAAAAGTCTCACCACAGTCGGAGCAATTCGGAAGAATAAGAAAGAAATTCCCCCTGACTTCAACATGTTGCGTGGTCGAACTGTGAACTCAAATATGTTTGGGTTTCGCGACAATATGGTTTTGGTTTCATATGTTCCAAAAGCAAGAAAAAACGTTCTCCTGATTAGCACAATGCACAATGACGCTACAATTGATGCCGAAAGTCAAAAACCAGATATAATTTTGTGTTACAATGACACCAAGGGCGGCGTTGACGTGGTAGATCGTTTGTGTGCTAATTACAATTGTGCTCGAGGAACAAGACGCTGGCCTATGGCAGTTTTTTATGCTATGCTTAATATCAGTACCATAAACAGTCAGGTGATACATACAGCTAACAATCAAAATTCCAAAATGAAACGTCGTCAATTCATTGAGCATTTGGCTATGAAATTAATTGAACCCCACATAAGAGAACGACAGATGCACTTGCACCTGCCGCGGTCAATGAGACAAAGACTGTCTGAAATTTTGAAGATAGATGAGGTACCTGGAACGGCTGGTCCATCACGAAATGGCCGTGGCTTTGTATGTGGATGGAAAAAAAATAGAAAGACCAAATACACTTGCCACAAGTGCAAGAAACATTTGTGTCTTGAGCACGTAGTGCCTTATTGCAGTATTTGCTTGAGTGAAGAATAGTGATTTTTAAAGAATTTTTTTTGTTATTTTTTGTTGGTAAGATGCCATTTTTTGTTTATTATAAGTAAGTTACTAGAGTGTAAAAACTGATAAGACTGAATAAATTTTTAAAATATGTTGATTATTGAATTTTCAAATTTTTAAAATAGCTATGTGTAAAATCTAACTAATTTTATAGGGTCTATGTGAAGTTGTATAATCATAAGAAAAAGTAAATAAACTAGGCTGTGATTAATGAAATAATGTTGTTTTAATGTCAAATAATTTATAATTAATAAATAAAATGGTCAGGAAATGAAATATTTTGAAAAATCTTCCATTGAAAACCCCGGTGCGTGGGACCGGGATCACCGAAGATGTAAGTCAAATCGACGTCACCGTTGGCGGGTTAATGCAATAATAATAATGTCCTCTAGACCGAATTTCGGTCACGACGGCCAAACTCAACGGAGACTAGCCATCTGGCTGGTTTAAACAGGCTGCAGTGACAGCCAGTCCGGAGAACATTATTATTTGTATTAATTCGTTCATACGAAATGTGGAAAATTATTTTCACAAACACACCTACGACAATTTTCAAGTAATTTATTGCTTCGACTTTCTTCGCTGGTGTCAACAAAAAGATCGTTCCTCTCGATTAAAACCGAAGCACGTATTCAATTTAACGAACGATTCGCAACAAATAAATTTCTTCACCTGATCCGATCTCAGCAAGTCGGGCCATTATTAATCAGATAGTATTCACTGAGAGGCTAGAAGAGGAAATGATATGAATTATTTAAAATAGCTTCGCAAACATTTTGTGTTTATATATATATATGAATATTTTAAAGTTTAAAGTTATAGATTTTATTTTTTATCAATAAGGATTTGTGACTAAAACACAGTATATCTGATGGTAAGCGTTCCATAGACATCTACATCTATATTCAATTAATGATCAAAATGCAGATGAATGTCACACATGAGGACTAAGATAGAATGCCTCGTTTCCAGTGAAGAAACTCACTAGTTCTCTACACTCACCATACAAAACAGCAGCATAACGCTGTTATTTTACGCTGGTATACTGTGAGAGCGTAGTCCCTCCCCGCTCAAGCTGACCCAATCGTGCTGCAACCGTGATATAGATATAACATTGTTCTACCGCGTATAAGTCATTACATAAGTCTACTGCACGCACTTTCGACAGTTTTGATAGTGAGCGTTAATCCTATCTCGTACTGGTTATGCTGTTCTTTATCACTATTTAGGCGATTTCGGTTCGACTTGTGAGGATAGATTTTTCGCCATCAATGGTTCCACAAAATAAAAGAATAGTTTTATTAAATAATATAAATATTTCAATAAAAAGAACACTTATTAAAGTCTTTTTATGCTTTTACCTCGGTTTGGAAAACTATTTCTGTCCTGGAGAACCAGCAAGAAACCCAATTTTTTTTTATATTATCTCACTTGTCTCACTTTTCTAGCCACTTTCGGCTTTAGAGACAATTTTCTGACTCCTACATTGAAGTCCTGATGTTCCGCCCCGCAATGTGCTTGGAAGTGACTATCTCTGCTGATTTTGGCGAGAATAGTACAAGCTCACTTAGGACAGGTTAGAATACCGTGCAGTAATTATATTGTATAGTCGCAGACGGTACGGTTTTAAGCTCCAAGCTTACAAAAAAAAACCTTTTTTGATTTTTATCAAACGAGTATGCATTGCCCTTGTAATATAAAATAAGTTAAAAACGCGATGAATTCCGTAAAAACTAGTTTCATTCAAATACACATCACTATTTTCAATAAATATTTTTTTTGGTTTCCTTTTTGCTCATTAGTAAACAAGATATAGCACGAGATGTTGGCACTTAAAAAAATATATTTGCATATACTCGTTAATTCTTTTTCTCGTTTTTTCTTTTTTCCTGTAGATAATAAAATGGTTAATCCTCTAGATTAATCACTTCACGTAACTTTATTGAATTAAATGCGCTTGGAAAAGTCGTCGTCATAGTACGTCAGCATAGTAACGTTCCGCAACTCATCAAAATAAAATAAATAAATTCTGCGTTTGGGCTCTGTAGACTTCGGACTTGTCGGTCGAGTTCACTCCCGTCACTGCACTTAGCTCATGCACAGAATTAACAATTGTTATACACCGCCTTGCTTTCTTACTTGGGTCTCTGTGTTTGGTTGCTGCCTTGGTGTCCTCACTGTAGTGCGCGAAGTACGCAGTCCCGGGAAACAGTAGTCTCACTGTGTTGCTGTGAAGTGTATCGGACGATGGTTGTGGTGCAAAGAGTGTTTAGTGCGTAACTCTCCTTCTTGGCTTCCTAGTACTTGTATCGGCAATCGTAAGTAGATTTAAACACACACGTCGCCTCAGGCCATTGTTTTTAAATTTAGTGTTATTTGTTAAATTAGGCAACAGATAGGTACACACCCTAGCGTACCAAGGCGCTAGGTGTATAGGTTTTTGTTCTAGGCACACACCTCACCCGCCGAAAGGTGAAGTTCAAGCCCGAAGACGAATGCTTCACCCTCGTACAGGACAAGAAGCGCAAACGCGCTGCACCAAAAAAAGACATTACCAAACTCTGCTCTTTCGTCTCCCGCCACTCTGGCAAAAAAGCCAGCCCCCACGAATCGCGCTCAAGCCCCCACTCAGCCAAAAATTGCTAGGCCGGGCCTAGGTGCGTCAAGTACCTAGGTGACCACGGCATCACTGACTGCTCCCGCACGTCCGAGACGGCTGAACCTCCGAGCTGCGTCGATTGCTTCGAAGAGGAACACTCAGCGAATTATCGCGGGAGTTCCAAAGTGCCGCAAAGGAAGCAGCGCGGAGGTAAAAGTCGTCCCGAACACGCGAGACAAGCCAGTGTGTCACGCTCTCGGCTGCCTGCCCCCAAACTCGCACTGTCCTCGGTGCCCTCTTCCGAGCCTCAAATTGTCACTAAGCCTGCCCAAGTCGCCTGGGTAGCCGAAAAAGGTGCAAGGCCTCCCGCGCCCTCCGCGCAATAACCCAAAGCTTAGGTGAAACCACCGACACTCGTCGCCTCACGGCCAGCGCCACCTTCCCAAGCCCCAAAATCGAAGCCCGTTCTACAACTCTTCTTATTTCGCCGCTGACTTCTATCTAGTCTGCGGTTTCATCAGCAACATTAACGTTGCTGAATTATCCTCTTTGGCCCGCAAGCTACGCAGAGCCACTACCAACTAGAAGATAAGATCAACGCTACGATTGGCTAATTGACGCAATCTGGTCTTTCCAGTGCGCATAAATACCTCAATTAAAAATCAAAATAGCAGTACAACCTTTAGGTAGAACTATACCACGCTCTCTAACTGTTGCGTTTTTTAACGCAATCGGCCTTAGAGACCAAAAAGACGAGATCGCGCGCTGCGTAAACACGATGTAGACGTCACGCTGGTATAAGAGACCTTCTTGAAGTCTAGCCATAGCGACCTTAAGATCGCAAATTACACCATAGTTAGAAATGATAGGTTGAGCAGCCCTAGAGGGGCATCTTGATCTACTACAAAAGGTCCTTGCACTGTGTATGGAACGACGCCCCTCCGTTAACTAACACAGAAGTCTCATATGTAATATGAAATATGTCAGATAGCTCTCTCTGGCTATCCGCCACTCACGATCATATCGGCGTATCTACCGCGACTCAAACGCATAGTTGAATCAGACTTTGAAGAAGTACTCAATCTAGGGTCCAGTGTTATAATAGTTGGAGAATTCAACAGTAAGCATTCCTCCTAGAATACGTGTACAAGCAATCCCAATGGTATGGTTTTGTTCGATCTCACGGAGCGACTAAACTTCGATATTATCGCGCCTGAGACGCCAACTCGCTACCCATTCGCAACCAGTCACGAACCGGACGTCTTTAACGTAGCTATACTTAAAGATAACCGCCTGCCGATATCATCGATTGAACAATATTAGAACTCGACTCGGTACATAG